CAGGAGTCTGACAGCTCCTTCCTCGGCGGGGTGGGGGGCGATGGGGGGCGAAAGGAGGGCTGTTAAGGCAGCTGCACCTCCTCTTTGTCATGCTTTTGGTTTCAATCATAGGACAACCTTGGAGTCGGGTGGGAGAGGGGCGTGGCCGGCCCCAGCGCGCCGGAGTCCCCGCCCCTCCGTCGCCCCGCCCCCTGATCCGCCCCGCCCCCTCTGTGACCCTGCGGACAGCCTCCGGCGACCTGTTGGCTGGGAGCGTCACGTGACGCGGCCGGCCGCGCACCCCGCACCCCGGCCTCGGGCGGGGCCTCCTGTTGCGCCCGCCGGGGGGGTTTCCATTCACGAAACGCGCGGGCACCGCCCCGCTCTTCCCTCGCTGAGCGAGGGAGGGCGGGCGTTGAAAAGGCAGGGAAGGAAAAGGGGCGGGAGGAGGAGGCGGGGCGGCGCTCCAGTCACGTGACCCGGGGCAGCCCGGAAAGCTCCGAGGAGGAGCCTGGCGCCGCCATTTTCCTGCAGCTGCCTGTCCCTCTCAGCCTGCCCGGCTCCAGCTGACCAGCGAAGGGGTGGGCTGAGCTGAGGCGGGGGCCGGGGAGCGCCCGGCGCCGTGCCTGACCCCGCGGGGGACACGAGCCGTTTTTTTTCCGGGCTGGGTGTCAGCGCGCGGCCCTGAGCCCCGCCCCAGGCCGGCGGGCGGAGAAGGAGCCGGTGGGGGTAGGGGGTGCGGTGGGGGGCGGGGGTCCTCCGGCGATTGGGGGTCCCGGTCCCCGCCGGCTGCGGAAAGGCAGGGGTGGCGGAGGAGCCGCCGAGATGTCCGGCCAGAGCTTGACGGACCGGATCACCGCCGCCCAGCACAGTGTCACCGGCTCCGCGGTCTCCAAGACAGTATGCAAGGCCACGACCCACGAGATCATGGGGCCCAAGAAGAAGCACCTGGACTGTGAGTGAAGCCGGCCCCGCGGCCCGCGTCCGCCTCCCCGCCTCTCTTACCCCCCTGTCGCCGCCTCTCCTCTCCCCTCCCCGCCGACGGGTCTGGCGCGGCGGGTGCTGAGCTCGTCCTCGCTGTGCGCTCGTGGTCCCCGGCACACACCTGCCTTCACGGCTTCCGTTCCCCGTCGAAAAACCCCTGACAAGCCACTCCCCTCCGGGTGCCCCGGGGACCCTCGTTTCCCCGACGGGTGCGCCACGGCACCCCGTCGGCACACCCGACCGACTGGCCCCCGCACCTGGCCGCTCACCTCCCCGCCGCCCGCCTGGACTGCAGCCTTCGGCTCCTTCCTCCCACCGGTCCGGGCTGCCCGTCTCCCTGTCCTGAGCGGCTCCCCGCTGGCCCCGGGTCTCCCTGCCCCATTGTTTCCCGTTAGCCTCCGGGTTTCCGTGAACCCCTGGTGGCGTGAATCCGGATCTCTCTCTCTCGCTCTCTCTCCGCCGCTCGAAGCGATCCCCGCTCCCTCCGCTCCACGGGCCCCTTCCGTCCCTGCCCGGGCTGCCGGCCCTTCCGCCTCGGCCACCCACGTTTGGGTTCCGTGTCGTTGCCTCTGCAGCTTCAGTTAGGTTCCTTCGTCCCCTGTTATTTCCAGTAGCATGTCAGTTCCCGACTCCTGCCCCAGATGGCTCTCTGCGTCGGAGCGGAAGGAAGGGGATTCCGTTTGGGGCAGGGAAAGCTTTGTGGAAAGTTAGGATTTTTAGTTACCTCTGGTGGAATTTAATTCTTGTATTTTCCTGCTTTTGAACGGGGTAAATTGCGCCTTGTTGTTGTTGTTTGTTCTGATGGGGATACTGTCTGGGAGAGGGTTTGCTGATCCTGGTAACATTGTATCATTTCCCGGAACTGTTAGCAAACCTGGCAGTTTGAATTTAGAGGCTTGAGTGTGAAGTGTAGACTTCTGGAATACAAAATGGATTAATGATCAAACCTACAAATAACGTACATCTCTTTAAAAACTGGCGAGAGATGTGAGATGATGCTTGGGTTTGGACTCCGTTTTAATTTTATGCTGGCTATCTTTCTGGGGGCTTAGCTTTTCTTACACGGCGTAATATTACTCCATTTATTAACTTGTATGCAACCAGTAGACCTAACTCCTCCCAACTTTTTCCAAACCTGGAAGCCACCTGTAATAGCCTCCTTTTTCTTTCCACTCCTTTACCTCAAGGTACAAAGCTCAGTGGATTACTCAAGCTTTGACTCAGTGGAGCTTTGACCTGAAACTTTGCAGGGAAATAGGTACAATAATAAGTTCCTCTTTCACAAGTCTACTAGACACATGAGCCTGACTGACTTCATTCTGCATGAAAGTTACTTTGCTTTACTGATCAAAGCAAGAGTGAGCATGTCCTGAAAGGAAATTAACTGACAGGGAGTCCTGTTTTGATTTCTCATTTGGACTCTGGCCGTAAGGCTTGAACTTTTTTTTAAAAAAAAGTACAAAATGTGAATTCTTCCAAGATACTTTGCTCATGAAGTACTGCTAGAACAAGTTATTGCTACAGACAAACCCATTATTCATTGTGACTGGTTCCTTCGCTGGAAAAAAATATATATCATCACGGCTTGGTTCTTCTCTCTCATGCACGAGTCATGCAGGCTGCTTTTTCACTCGCAGTCCTTGCCTGTGTAGAGAGAGAGTGCAGAATATATTTAAATGGCGACATTTTAATAAACAAAAATTATTTAAAATGCATAAAAACTGATTTTGGGGGTTTATCTGATATTTGAAGTAGACATTTCTGTTTATTTCTATTCAAATGACTACTTGGCTTGCTTTGCCCAACCTTATGGTTTGCCCAACAATGTGTTTTTTATTTTTATTTTGATGATGGGGGCAAGTGAAGAACTTACTAATAACTGTGAGCTATTGTCTTCTTCCCTCACTTCAAGATGATAAATTATAACACGAATGTAGAGCTTTTAAAAGTCCTTATAAAGGTTTTTGTGTTACTTCAGATTTAGCAATTTTTTAAAACACGTTACCAAAAAGGTCAAAATAGTCTACGTTAGGTTAGGATGGTGATATTTACTTGGGGTTTTTTGCATGTTAACCTTTTCTCTTGTAATAGAAGCTACTGCAGATGCTAACTGGGATTAAGTTAGGAGTGTATTCTCACATTTGTAGTTCGTTTTCTCTACCACTTGTGTTTATAAACTCCCACTTATTCAGAACTTGAATATTTCTGGTAATGTTTGATTTAAAAAATTCATATAAATAAGGAGCCCCTACTCTGTTTCTTTTCAGTGAGGTTTTTAAAATCCAGTGATACTATTTTTCCTAGTTAAAA